GAGGCGCCGGGCGGGAGCTGGGTCTCCCCACACCCCACCTCCTGTCGCCCTCGCCCGCCCATCTGGCCCTGCCCACCTCTTTCCGGCTCCCTCTCTCCATCTGTCCCACAGAGGTCTCTGCCGAGTGCCCTCCTCCCTCCTCCACCTTCCCTGGCTCCCTCATCCCCGCATCCCTTCCCTGCCCCTCTCCTCCCTTCCTCTTTCCGTCAGCTCAACATCCGCTCTGGGTGCCCCCACGTTGAGCACTTTGAGGACCCGACACAGTGTCAGAGAGAGGAGACCGAGTCCGGACACCGACGCTCCCAGGCGGGGGCCAGGGGTTGGTGCAGAGGACGGGGAAGAACCACTGAACAAGGAAAACCTGCAGTGGGTTTTGAAGTAGGCATAGGAGTTTGGAGGTAGGGGCTGGAGACAAGAACTGGCACAAATGAAAGGGAAATGAAATGAGACAAGAAAGACCTGTGATTTCCAGGCTCCTGAATAAGCAACGCTGCCCCTGCCCCATTGTCCTGGGCCAAGAGTGCGGAGCACCGGAGAGGACCAAGCTGTGCAGCCAGGGAGTGGGCCTGGGGTGCTTCCTGGGAGGGACCTCCTTGGATGCCCTGCGGTTTCTTCCCAAGACCTTGGGGAAGAGAGGAACAGCATCCTCTGACGGCTGGGCTCCTGGAGATAGGAGCTGGAGCCACAGCCCCCGCCATTTTTTCCAGGGGCCCCCAGGAATCCCGGGCTCCTGCTTGGGGTGAGTGGCCTGGTGGCGTCTATCAGTGTCTGAGTCCTGACTTGGCCTGCACTCTGGGGTCCCGAGGTCAGATCTGGCTTCTATTCCAGGAGACCGGTATTCAACTGTTTTTTGGTACTGGGACTTGAACTCAGGACCTTGTGCTTTCGGGGCAAGCACGATGCTCCTGAGCTAAATCCCTGGCCCTTCAACTGAGATCTTATTCCAGAGCGGCGCGTTGGTTAAACTGTGACCGCCACGGACACTGCCTTTAGCTCCTGGAGGGGACTGGCAAGGAGAGGCATTGCCTCACTCCTGACAGCGGCTATGGGGGGGGGGTACGGAGGTTGGGGAGATCCACAGAGCTAGGGACAGCCCAGGTGCACAGACCCTCGTGGGGTTTTTGTTGTTGTTGTTTTGTTTTGTTTGAGCCAGGGTCTCACTTATTCAGTCTGGCCATGAACTCACCATGTAGCCCAGGCTAGCCTGGAACTCACAGAGATCCTCCTGCCTCAGCCTCTTATGTGCTGGGATCGCAGATGTGCGCCCCCATGCCTGGCCCTCACGGTGGTCAATTAGAAAGAAGTACCCATCCCTCCTGCCCCCCCACTGCTCTGGGAGAGAGGTGGAGATGGGGGGCGATCCCTCCTGGATGCCTCCCTCCACTCCCTGTGCTGCTGGCCATGCACAGCGCATGATATAGCGAGGGGACCCCTCCGTGCAGCTCTGTGGGATGGGCCCACGGAAAAACTCCTGTGGGAGCAGATGCACTGGACCAGACAGCTGCCTCAGCATCCTCCAGCCTCCCATTCCCAGGGTATTTCTGCTCCCAATACCACCCCCATCTTTAGTTCATGAGAAGAATGTCAGCTACACACGCTATATTTTCTTGGACCTGAACTCCTGATTGTGCGAGGCAGAAATTCAACCCTTATCCATCAAAACCACATTATACACAGCATTGCCTCACTCCTGACAGCGGCTATGGGGGGGGGTACGGAGGTTGGGGAGATCCACAGAGCTAGGGACAGCCCAGGTGCACAGACCCTCGTGGGGTTTTTGTTGTTGTTGTTTTGTTTTGTTTGAGCCAGGGTCTCAC